GCTGCTGCTAGCGAAGATATGAAACAGATTGATTGGTTCTACAAAAATCTGTCACTGAGATTCAACGCCAAGAACCTGGGGGAGATTTCAAAGCTTCTAGGCGTCAGAATAACAAGAGATCGACAAAACGGAACCATCTATTTAGACCAAGAACAGTACCTTGATAAGACGCTCACAAGTTTTGGGTTTCCGAATGGAAAATACGCAGCAAAGAAAATACCAGCAGCTGATTACGAAAATCTCAGACCAACATCACCGTCAGATGAAACGTTTGATGTTAAGCTTTACCAGCAGATAATTGGCAGCTTGATGTATGCGATGACGCTTACACGTCCGGATATCGCATTTGTCCTCGGATGTCTAGCTAGGTATATGAGTAACCCTGCGGTCCATCATGGCCAAGCCCTCAAAGACCTGATGAGATACCTACGCTCCACGATTCGACAAAAATTAAGGTTCGGACCCGGAATAAGAGATCATGATAGCCACTTTGTCATCTACACCGATGCAGATTGGGCAAATGACAAATCAGATAGGAAAAGCGTTTCTGGGGGAGTTGGAATGTTCTATGGAGGACCATTTTGCTGGATGTCGAAAAAGCAACGGTCAGTAGCACGATCAAGTTGCGAGTCGGAGTACATATCTCAATCTATGTATGCAATGCAAGGACAGTGGACAGCACAAGTCTTCCGAGACCTACAGATGCCAGACTACATTGGTACAGATGGCATAAAGGTAGATATGCGCGGGGACAACCAAGGAGCTATTGCACTGACCAAGAATCCTCACCTTCACGAGAGGTCGAAGCATATTGACGTGTGCTATCACTATATCAGAGACCTCGTCGAAAAGGGGAAACTCGGTGTCGAATATGTACCCACTTCAGAAATGCCTGCCGACGGATTTACCAAGCCGCTTGCCCGCGTCGCGTTCGAACGCTTTAGAGGATTCCTTGGTGTCGCCACAGATTGATCGTACTGAAAGGAATGTTTGAGAGGGATAGATGTTGGTAGCGGAAGACTGCTCACACTGAGGGGGAGTATTGTAAATGTGTCAGTGCGTAGCAGGGATAACACACTCTTGATGTATGAGGCTAGCCATGTTGGTCGCGTGGAAGCGAGATTGAGTGTGGTACTAATAGAAGACTTACTCCCGTTAGATTCTAGAGCTAGTGAATCTAAAACCCTATTGAACCTACCTTCTTGCTTCCCTTGCACATTAGTACTCTGTCGGTGATAATTACACAGTAGGGTGCTTCTTTTTAACAGATTTGTTGTTACATCATCATAATCATTATTACAGTCCAACCCCTGTCAAGACGATCATGGTTAAGCCGATATTGCCGTTTACACGATATATTTTCCGAAACCGGCTTCGTTACCATACATTTACCGATTACACGATTATCGTTTTTCAACCTCTGCATATCGTCTTAACCAGGGTTTTTGTTAGATTGTGTAAGCAGACTTGTGCTTGCATAAGTCTGGATCCAGTCCAAAAGCGAAAGCACGATCTGCGTGCAGGCATGTCAGACTAGTAATGATGATCAGGGGCATCAATAGGGTAGAACTAGATATTATAGTGCTACGATGGACTCGTAGCACGGAGACAATCAATCAATTCATTCTTGTATTCGCTTTTACCTTTTGACGATTCACGTGACATTCGCACGAAGACCTCCCTAAGTTTTACAGATTGGTACTAATAATGCCGCCTAAAGCGTCTTTTGTCTCAGTAGGGACTTAATAGGGTTACTCGCTTGACGCGCGATCCGCCAGACGTTAAATAAAGATAAATAAAATGCCGCCTAAAAAGGGAATCTCTGAAGAGCAACGACGTGCTCTGTGACGATGGGCGCATCGCTAGGTACCAAAACCAACACAAAAACAGTGCATTGAGTGATTCTTGGCTGAGTACGGCCATCGATTAAGCCAGTCCACAGTCTCCGAGTCTTTGAGCAATACCTTTGCGAAACTCAACGAAGCTACAAGTACTACTGCGCTACGACAGCGAGCTGGAAACTGGCCTCACTTTGAGACTATTAGAGCGATTAGAGACGGCAATTGGGACTATAAAAGAGGCATAAAAAGTACAGAGTAGCCTAGATAGCTGGACCAGATAATTATAGCCTTTTAAACGATATCCTCTATATGAAGATATTTTTCACGGCCCCGATAACATCGTCTTAACAGGCGTCTGACTGTACCGCCCCAACTCCAGCATCCTTGCTTTATGCACATCCACATAAAACTTGTGTCCTGTAATTCGACAAGAGTCTTCCTAGAGATCAGCCCCTGCAGACTTGCTCGGTCTGGAGAAGCACTCTGCCTTCTAGCTTCCTTGAGAAACATTGACTCATTCGCGGCAAGGGCCTCCTAGCTAGTGTTTGACACATTCTTGGCTAGACGTACTTAAGGTTGAGAGCGGTGATCAAAGGGGACATTGCTGACGAGTGAGGAGTCATCGTCCGCATTAAAAATTTTGAGGAGTCTCATTACTAGGCACAGTCAATTCTCCTTAGTAATTACCCAAGATAGGTCGTACTATTTCGAGGTGAAGAATCCAGAAACCTCGGATATCAAGGTATACAGTTACAAGTGGAGCGGTAGAGCTAACAATCCGTGATAATGATGATGATTTATTTATCATGCCAGGCTTACACCCTCCATCCAATGGACGTGACACGCAGGGAGGACATCTAGAATACAAGTTCATCCATTCTCCAGCAAAGCCCATCCGGTGCCTGACTTTTCCAAATGCGTGCCTCACGCTAGTTACATCGGGTCGAATAGGTAGGAACGCATTCACCATGATCCTAAGACAATGTATTGAGGGAAAACCTTCGTGGAAAAAATTCAATAATTCCTCCTGTACTCTTTCACGACGAGCAGCCGTAGCAATCCGTGATAAGATGCAATAACACTGACTGAAGGTCAGCTGATCATCACTGCATGGGGGGACGAAACTCAACACCTATCAGTGGTGTCTCCTACGAACCTCCAGCTCTCACTGCAGAGTCTGCAGAGCCGAGATTGAGTAACACCTTTTCAACTTTGAGCCGAGTTATCTCTCCCCATCCGTCAAAGATACGCTTCCGATTTCACGTAAGACGACTAAGAAGACGATAATGATGCTGGGAATGAGGAAAGGTAATGCGATACCAAGCGCTATAACGGTAGTCAGAGAAGCCCTCGTCATGTCGCAACATGTGCTATCCAACGCCGGGCAAAAAAAAAGGCCCTCAAAAGCAAAGTAAATGACCCTTCTATCCTCAAGAAAAGCAGATTTCGACTCGTCAAAAATATCGTCTCTTCTACTCATCAATTCCGAAGCTACCAGCTAGGTGGGCATCTGAAATACACGAGTTACCCGACGACTCCACGTCCGTAACGACTTTTAGATGCTAGCCTAGACCTCCTCATGACAGTCACTCTTAGGCAAGAATTTGCTGACATCCTTTCACGACCTTCGGATTTTCCTGTGGCATGAATCAGGGGAGGAGTAAGGAGGAGGCTAGGAAGGTTGAGAGACGCTCTTGGGTATATACAGGTGTGCTGCGCCTGGATTGCCGGCCTCTTCGTCATAGGAGAGACCCGCACCCAGTGGTTTTTGAGACTTTTCCCAGCAGCTTCACACCCGCAAATGGCCATCGTTTTTCTGGCTGGAGAGGGGAGATAATGACGAGACAAAGGCTTCTCTTTGTGTGTACTCGACTGAAGACATGCGGGAGTATTACTGCTGGAAAGATGTCGTGAAGGAGGTATAGGAAGAAGTACACCATCCGAGGCAAAGATACTCCCGACCTGTAGGCAGAAAGGACCTAAATGTTCTCACATAGTCGTAGGCTCAATAGGACAATATACACTAAGTCACTCACTCATCACTGCATATAGTCTATAAATGATGATAGCCATGTCGTGTAGGTGCGCTGGAGCACGCCCCCTCTTCTATGGTTTGGGTGAAATTTGTGCCTCTGGCATCCATTTCCAATTCAGGACTTGTTTAATGCTACCATTATTAGTATTTTGTTAATTCATGTTTGATTTGATTAAATTTCATTTAGCCAGTTCAGGTACCCTATTGGCCCATGCAGGTATAACTAGCTATAATATTTACACAGGAGGAAACCATATTCGGTAAAAACCCCCTACAACTGTCTGTCTCGTGTCTATTTTTTTCTGAGGTTTCCTACAGGAAGTGCGATTAGACTGTTTATACAGTCTGAAATCCGTCTATCCTTGTCCACATCGTCTCATCCTTTCGTCCAATGCTATTTCTACTTCTCCTGCAAGCCGGGATTGTTCAAACCAGCCTTTTGCCAGGATCCATTTTGTAATTCTCTCTATGTCATCTGGGCTGTTCATCATTGTCGCAAATGACCTGTCTTTTGCCTTTCGAAGCACCTCTCCTCTTCCCATTGCCCACTGAGGACACGCCAAGACCATATGTTTGACATTTTGAGACGGATATCCACACTGACATTTTGGATTAATCACTCCGGGGACTTTCCTTCGATACAGATAAGAATTGAGACCAATGTGCTCACTTCTTATCTGAATTGCAATACTGCTTTGGGCCCTACCAAGGTTCCAGGTTTATTCATGTTGTTGTCCTGCTGAGAAACAAAAGAAGAGGAAGTGGCAGGAAGGCAGCTCTAATGTAGAGATGAAAGAAGTAGATTGGCCATGAGAAGAGAGTAGCTAGAGGCCGGCAGGGACTACATGCGAACGTGCACCTACCACGTGTACTCACGCAATTATACCCAGGACCAGGTTGAGGCGAGGCCATAATTCTGAGTCTATGATGAAAATGCGAACTCGTTTTAACGATGTGATTCCGAGCCGCTATTATATATCGTTATATCGTGATATAGTTGTGACGTTTTAGTGGATAATATGATCATGTGACACTACGTTCAAACACATTTAATTGCTTAGTTCACATCATGAAATCTTCACGCTTTCTAGCACATCAAACGTGATATCGTTCTACCTCATACATTATTTAAACCAACTATTTAATGTCTCTTGACTTCTATTAAGTCCTGCCTGCTGCTGGAGGCTTCTTTCCATGCGCATGATTATCGTGAGCCCCATGGAGTTAGCATCTGGCTCATGCTCCTTGAAGCTGAGTAGGCGCTTGAGGCCATTTAGTGCTTGATTAATCATAGCAGACAGCTCAGCTGCCTCCTCATCCTCCTCCTGCGGTAGCATAGTATGTGCAGCGATGAGATCCACAAGCTTGAATCATCCTCCTTCACGTCAATATTCTCGTCATCGTGTCTGTAATTTTAGTCGCTATTCAAGAATAAATTTGCATGAGGCGGATCAATGTTACGGTCAGTGCCCCGTTCGATCAGGCTGAACTATCTTTCAGCCCGAGCCTCATTCAAGGATGTCAGTCACGTGATCTGGCATAGGGTCGTTTCTCACGACTCGTATCACTCAGTTAATTATGCTGAGGCTGGGATACAGATTACTTAATAGCCAAGGAATACGTGTCAGGAATCTAGATCACTGGTAGCTACAGAGGGTATATTTCATGTAACGGATTTCCTTCAGTTCATCTCTACAGAAAATTATTGATTCTTTGTGATACTGTTTACGTGCAGTGTGTCCTTCATAGTCTTAGACCCAGTAGGGACTTAAATTTAATTCTATTCTACGTGCAGTGTCCCTAACTCTCCTTGCCCTTAAACTGCACATGGTGTGGCCTAGGCCAGAGAGGAGCCCAATGTGCTAGATAGTCATAGACTCAAGTAGTACAATAAAAAATACACGTTCCTCGCCCTTTACAATCCAGACTTCTACCAGGCCTAATGAGACGTGGGGATCTATATGACACACTTCGAACTAGACTTGGAAATAGATATTTGTGCCTTTATTATTAGGCATACAACTAAATATAATCTGTCTTTGGACAATGACAGTTTTTATATCATGTGACAGTTATTCGATCTAACGATAAAATGGCGACGGCGACATCGGTATATCGAATATCGTTAATTTACTATATTTACAATGAGAACGTAATGCGTACGCGAGGATATCAGTATAAAGCGAATGTCATTATATCGTCATAACGAGTCCGCACTATATGTAGGAAATGCAGGTCCTTTCTGCCTACAAGCCAAGGATACCTATGCCAGTAGTTTATCCCCTGCTATGCCCCCCATACAGCTCCCCTCAAACAGTACCACCCCTCACAAGCCCTCATTCGATCATACACTCAGAGGAGCGCTTTTCCCTTACTGTTCTCCCCTCTCCAGCCAACGAAACGATGGCAATTTGCAGGTGTAGGGCAGCCGGGAAAGATCGCAAAAACCACTGGGTGCGGAGCTCTCCTAATACCGAAATTAGGACTAAAACCGAAGACATAGTGACCCTTCTGAAGCGTTCGAAGAGGCCGGCCAGCTGGGCGCTGCAGACTTGCGTGTACCTCGGGAAATTCTCACTCTGCCTTTCTAGCCTCCTTCCAACTCCTTCCCGAAGGTCGTGCTGAAATGTCAGAAAATTCTTGACAGAGCGTGACTGTTGTGTAGCAGCTTAGCACGACTTCTTTTATGCCGTCCAGGGCGCTGGGGAGTGCTGTTGACTCATCGACAGAAGAAGCCCTCCTGGCTAATTAGCCGAAATCTCGGTCTTGGCGCCCACAAAATATCCAAAGTTTGCAACCCCTCGAAAATATCTGTCTCAGCATGCTCTTCTTAGGCCTGTTCTCCCTCAAGTTGTTTGTCCCATCAGAGCTACAGTCCCCCATAAGTCAAGGCCCAGGCTTTGAATTTGTCGACTTGATTTCCTCCTTGCGTGTATAAATAGCGTCGTAAATATGTAGTGAGAGATGGCTGGAGATTAACGGGGCAAGCTCATGTATGCAATTGGAGCAACTTCTTTATTGGTCGTAGGGGCGAGATGATGCGTGGTTAGAGATGGGTTGAGGACTCAGATGATAATGATGAGAGAGGCATTGTCGAGAAGTTGTCAATTGGAGATATGCTTGTTGTTGCTTTCGACATCGATTCGGTTGCGATTCTTCTTGGCTATGCTAGATATGCAGGGCATACTGAGCGATTACAACAAAACTACTGGAAGGTGAAGAATTAGTCTTTTCTGGCTAATACAATCATTACTCATACGTTAAATAACAAAAAATTATAAAGGCGCCATGTTTTTTACCGTTTATCTCCACATGCATGACCACTCGGCGTAGATGGATAGCACCCTGCAATACGATGCCATATCTTTTTTCCATAAACTGCTCAGTTGCGCCCATCCCTACAGTGGAGCAATGGCCTTACATCCTCAGTTGTAAAGATGAGTTTAGGCTAGTCTCTTTCGATAAGAAACATGTTCGGCTCTATCGTCTTTACTGTGTGAGGTGGATTACATGAGGAACAGTCCAGGCTCATCCTTGCTAGGCGATGAACATGAAACAAGCAATAGACATGTGAAAGCCCATCCCGGTAAAGAAAGCAGACACTTGACTCGGGCGCATATTGACTAGGGCTAGAGAAGAATTTACACTTTGGAGCGTCAAACTCGAGTTGTCAGGACAGCAGTTTTCAGCATGATTCAACACATGTATGACTTCCGAGGTGATCTAGTAATTACGATCAGGCAAGCTTCATCAATTTCGTAGCGTTTGTCCTGAACCGACCCGGCCCTACTCGTGCTCAAGCTCTCACAGGAGTACGGAGGTTGGCAGTTGAATCTCTCGTTAAACACTATTCTTTAATACAGTTCATTTTTCAGTATTTCATTAATACATACACTCTCTTTTACAAAATTTACACTCAAATGTTTGTAAAGTATGTTTTCTGCAAAAAATAGCCAATTTCGTTCTCAAACGAGAGTGTCATCCCATCGCCTAGTTACAGGGAATACAATTCTGGTCTGGTGTGCTGGAAGGGATGTCATAGTTATTGTAACATCTGGGTTTAGAACCAAAAGCCACTGCAAGAGCCAATCCAAATACGTTCGAACACTAGCTTGACTCGATGTCAACTTCGCTAGTTAGGTAGCGTCAGTCGCATAGTCTAGTACTTACCCCTCAACCTGCTTTTTTTAATTGGTGGCTGGAGGGCTAAAGGTTTTATTCCTCTTTCTGCAGCATATCACTGTTTCGAATCCATCATCGTCCAGGTATATTTTGTGCTATGTGTGGTCATATAATGAAGGCATGCTTACATAGCTAGAGTTTATGAAGCTATGCCTAGCTGAAAACTTCGGAGGATATTACTGTGGACCGCAAAAAATCAAACTCTATGGCGGTTATTATTAATGAAATTCAGAGCATTAGTTTATCTATAGAGGGTTACCTAAGATGTGTAAAGTGAACCTGTCTAGCAACACTGAACAAAATTAGGGAAATTCAGAGTGATGTAATTCTAAAATTTACCATATCGCTCGGCACGCCTTACCTGCGTTCCACATCTACTAAGGATGGCCGATTAACTAGGCTCAGTCGACCCTCACAGAGAGAGGCCTTGTTTGTTATCAACTCAAAATATAAAATTTCTGTCGTGTTAGAATCAGACAAAAGCCATTTGTTCAGAAAATGCGTGAACTTGGTTGTATCTTTGGTTAAGGGATGTTATGTAATTCTGAATCGGGGTTTGCGTAACATTATTGTGCTAATCCGTTACTGGAGCTGGATAGTGCTACACCTAATTGCTAGAGCTGTTGCTAAGTGCACCAATGTTCCATCAGTCCAAATTCTACTATGTGCAACTAGTTTATGTTGAAGCTGTCTTGAAGTAACGAATTAGACACTTAATGTGAGGAGTGAGTAAGAACTTATGACAGCTGCAGAAGGCATCAAAATGTCATATTAAAGTAGTTAAAAGTTCTCAACTTCTAGTTTCGCAATCCCTACAGCTTTCCGTCTATTTTAGAAAGCGGATCCAAGATAGGGACGCAAGGGCTTCAAAAACATTACTCTGTAGCAGTTACTAGCTTATGAACCTGGTACTGCACAACTACCCGTCACTAGTATCCATTTTATCTATAGCACCTTGCCGAAATGCCTTCGCGTGAGCCTTGGCCTCTTGCTTCCATGCGAGAATTTTGTTTTTCATTTCAGGGAGCTCGATAACCTCCTCAATCCGTAGTGGTTGACGGTTAAATGGATCATTAGGATCGCTTAATAGATGGCTACGAATCGTGCTTCGGTCAATGATTTGTTGACTTTTGGGTAAAAGGACAGGATCGTGCATTAAACTCGCCAATAATGGATCTAAAAATTCGTCAGGAATTTGTCCCAGGTCTTCTTCGTCCTGATCATCTTCTTCTTTCGCGCGCGCAAAGCGACACGTTAGCTCCTTCCACGCATTTATTTCTTCTGGGGACTTGAGATTGTATCGCGTAAGAATGCGATAGGCAGCTTCAAAGTTGGATGGCTTGTAAGACCTCCCATCTTGTGCAACTGCTCTAATGAAGTTTTCGGAAACCCCAAGGTTAAGGAAAATATCTACAAATTCACTAAGTAAAGTTCGAGGCTCAAATTGGAATTTTTTCATGTCATCAACTTTGAGGTTTGTAGATTTAGGGCCAGCGAGAATATCAAGCGTGTAGTCTAGCATTGCCGCAACTCGGTCAACTATTTCCGGCATGGTGAAGGAGGCGCTGAGAGATTTTGTGAAAAGCTTCATCATAGAGACTGTCTCGTTCGTTAGTTGCATATAGGACTGTGCTTGCGATTCAGCTGTGCGGAGCTCTTCTTCTTGAGCAATTCTCTGTTCCGGACTTAATAAATTATTGGTCTTTAATTCCTGTTGTAGGTCATGAATCTTGGGAAACTTTGTCAAGGCCTCATCCAGCACGTATGTAGCATCGTTGAGAAGTAAGTTGACAAATCTCAGAAAAAATTCCGTGTTTGTCTTACTTTCCTGAATCAAGCGCTGCTGATAGATATTGTTGGTCCAAATACATTTAATGACCTGAAAAATCTCGTATCTTATATTAAATTTATCATAGAATTGTGTGTGCGCTCCAGTGCATTCAACATCGATGTAGAACTTCATCAAGGCATGTAATAAGTATTCGTTAGAAAATTTGGAGCCCGCTAATGCATCACCAATTACACCGTTTTTTTGATGATATACTGGCCAGGTTCCAAAAAATAGCAATGACACCAACTTGGCTTTCAAGTATGGGTTTTTGATATACTCTGAATTAACGAGGAACGTAATACATAGTACAATAAGTTCATCACCTATGGCAGAAATTGCTGTATCCGGGACATGTCTGAAGAGTTAGCAGGTGGAAGGCTTTTAAGATATGATTTAAAATGTACCGAAATATGAATATGAAGCTCCCAACAACATCTTCAAGAGTATACTCAGGTAAAAACCGAAAAGCATCTGGTATTTCTGAAGATAATGGCAACCTAGTTCAGTCAGTTATATAGACTAATGAAGTCTCTTTTGATAGAAACGTACGTAATATGCTTTTCAGGTGTATAGTCGGTGGCGGTGGCGACTCTCAATAACCAGACTGTTACATATCTCATAAACATCAGTGATTTTGCCTGCATAGTTCTGTCAAAAAGAACCGCCTCGCAAGCATATTTTAAAGAGCAAGATTTGTCCAGAACGTCTCTAAACTTGTTGAGCTGTTCTTCGAATCTAGCTAGGTTGTGCGGTGTCTGAAATTCCGTCAATGTAAGCGTTCTTTTCATGTAGAACAAAATTGTGGCCTTACATGAGCGAATTTAGGACGTTCTAGTTCTAGTTGAGAAATCTTTTGTTCTAGATACCCGATATCTTTATCTAAGGATTTAAGCACAGCAATAGTCCCTCCAGTGCCGTAGTAGTGCGCAGCCATTGTGAGAAAAAATATCTCAGAAATAAAGTTTGAGTTACCATCGACTACTACATCATAGAATTCGTCTGAGGCATCTTGATCAGCATTTAATTTTGTTTCTTTTTTAATATTAATGCGAGGATTTCTCCGGAGATAATCGATATCGATCTTATCAATTTTAGAAAAGGTTGAGTCCATGAATGGAGTGCAAAGCCCGTCTAGAACACTTGTAACATTAAGTAGAAACCCGTCAGTTGAGAGTATGGCAGGGTCTGGACGAAGGGCCCGACGCTTTTCGTTGGAGTTTATGACGTATGCAAACCAATCCAAGGTCTTATTTCTAGAGAATACACTCGCTCTTACAAACAAATTTATAATCTCGAGAAGGTCTCTTTGATGCGCCTGACTTGTCATTCTTAATGTCTCCTGGGCTGTGCTTATCATTCTAGGATTCATAGTTTTGGCTTTTGAGAAGTATTCTAGAGTGATCTCAGGCTGTAAAGGAGATATGTGAAAAAAGGGTCCAAGGAAGGTATTTTTTTCAATGCTTGGAGCAGGCTCATCTGCTATGTAGAAAGATTGAAGCTGTGTAATTGCCGTAACAATTCTACTATCTTGACACAGTACTTTTAGAGCCTATCATTTCTTAGAACACAAAATTTAATCAACATGTGAAACCTACATTAGAATAAGACTTATGACTGTCATTCATGGTCAGCTTGGAGAGTTTCTTGCTGAGGTCTGAGGCAGTTTTTGTCAATATAGATCGAACTGAATCATCTTCATCAAATCTTCGGAGTAATTTCATGATGAACATCGGATCCGCACTTGTATCCTCAGATGGCTCTAGTAATAAATACTTAACCAAAGAATCACGCTCTGGGTTACAATTACGACTTGATCTTATTAGCGTATTAAATCAATGATAATTCCACTCAAAATTTACCCAAATATATCTGGTTCTTCGATGGCAAAAATGCAATAGCTGATACAGAGCCGCTCTGCTTCTTTTAAAATAGCGAGCTTTGTGGGAGAGGCATCCCGTAGAGTCGTCAAAATCTGTGATACCCTCTTAAAGCATGGTAGTAGATAGTCAAGTATACACTTGTCGGCTGGTACTTTGGATGCTGCTTCAAGAATAGCAGAATCAAGCCTGTCTCGCGTGAGCAGAACTGGGTCATTCTCTTCTTCTAGATCCCGCCTCAGATTTGGTAACATAGTGAGCCTATGATGAGAGGCATCATAGGTTAGTTCAGGATCTAGTGTGATACAGAATATGTGTCCTAAAATTTTATTTTCGTATTGCTCAATCGTTTCTTCATAGGCCAGTTTTTTTGTCAGAGATCGAACCTACTAGCCTGATTCAGCCGCTAGTTATTTGTGTCAGGTATAGAGAAGTCTTATTTCAATTCTTACATTTGAGGTTCTAGGTTCTTGGGACTGTGCATGATTGGTAGTCGAGAAGTCGTGAGAGGATAGAATCTCAGGTGCCTTAGTGATGTCTTTGATTGTAGTCTGGACGTTCAGCTTGTCTGCGTTCTTGGATTCTGAGGAAGTAGATGATGAGGTTTCTGAGTGAGTGACTTGTGCAGGCTTTTGACCCGCACTAAGTTTTTCTAGCCGTCTTTTTCTAATCTATTTAGGCCGTTATGGTTTGAATTTGAACTATGGGGCATTGCAGTAAAAACCTGTTCTAAGTTATCTTTATCTGGTCCATCTGGCGTCTCCAAATGAGGGGGAGAATTTCCATCCATTGTGGATTTTTTGATGGAAAATCGATGTTGCCAGTTTTGACGTTAAAATTTGGATTTCAGGTAGAAACGACCTAGCTGTCCGGCTGACATTGATTACTTGATGATAAGACGCCTCACAGAACAGACGATAGATGACTTAGCCTAGCACTGTAATTTTAGCAGAAATGATCTGTGTGGAGCAATGCATAGCATAATCTTTAGTTGAAATGCGTGCTTCCTTAAAAGGTCCAACCGTAGCGTAAATCATTTGACACGTTAATGCTGCAATCTATAGCTCATATCCATATTTTGGGCTTAGCGTCGGCATCCACACTAGTTGTGCTAGGTATTACTATTGATTTTGAGGGATAGAAGGTTCTTTGGTAAGTTACTCCACAAATTACTCGCACAATGTCACAATTGATAATGACAAGGATTGCACTCTAATTGTAGTCATTACCAAAATAAATATCTGCATTGTTACAGCCTCTTGATCAAGATCTAATTCAGAGGCTACAAGATCTAAGTTGGGTTCGAACATTTTTATTTATTAGGGCTGCGTATCCACCATTCCCAATACCATCAAATTAATCATTATCACCAAACACGCCTTTAGTTTGACTGGAGACAGAGAAGAAAAAGCCAAAGTAACCCTATTTATTAACTTTGGGGATCTTTGTTACATATGCATCACAGCAGCAATATGAAAGGAAGAGCCCTGCTGACTGCGACTTAAAATCATTTCAGAAAAGTAGTTCTACGTTCCCGTCATTATTTCGTGCCGTGTTAAATTATGAAAAGCGCTCAGCTTTCTATATTGCTTGCGGTATTCATTAGTAATTAGCCCCGAACTACTGCAATTTGAAGAGCCTGTATTAGTCTGCAGGTTTTACGAGATCTATGGAATGAGTTTCAAATGCGTGCCTCGATTTTGCAAGCCGGGTCTAGGATTTAGACTAGACGAGAACTCTCGTAGATATATTTGAATGTTAAGAATTCTTGAGCTGATATTAGTTGCCTTGGTTGTCTTTATTATTATTAAGAGAGCCACAACATATGAGACTCATTAGCTTTGCGAAGCCGGAAGGTTTTTTCTCGTGCGGCCGCCGCGAATGTTCTTGTGTATCCATATTCGTTTGTGTTGTCATCCTCTGTGGTATATGAGTTGAGCTATTTTGGAATTGTGCTTGGGCCGAGCCAGTTATCGTGACGACGTCTTGAAGACCTCCTATTGCTCCAACGCCATGTTTCGGCATTAGGCCTGGTACATTTGATCGATCGCGTGCTTTACCTATTGCAGGTTTAGCCATAGGAGATGGGGGTGCAGGCTGGGCCGCATTCAGGCGATCAGAAGTAAGATGTCTTCCAGCAGCGTGATTCCCGGTTCTAGGGGTTCCATGGAGGTCCCGGTTGGAGGCTCCTTGAGCTGCTGCGGCGTGGTATGAAAGATGACCTGAAGGACCCCTTGCCTCCCATCCCTTTCCGTTGTTAAGCTTCATCCAATCGTACTCGCCGTCCTCTACTTCACCAGTATTTTTCAGAGCTTGAGTAAAAAGGTCACGCATGTAATCATAGTCCGGCGTATCCTCAAATCCAAGGTTTCTAACATAGGTCAAGTACTTATTGAATTCCTCGGGAAATCCGTCGCAGAGATCCTTAATCAATGTAGTCTGTTTTTTCTCTCCAATTTTTTCGTATTTTTGCTTATTAGTTGCAGCCTTTAGTCCTTGCCATGGAAGCCCACCCCTTAGGAGATACATAAAAACATGCCCTAATGCTTCTAGGTCATCTCTTCTTGATTGTTCTCTTCCCAGATGGGTGTTAATGCTCATATATCGTGCAGTTCCGGAGAGAGACTTTCTTTCTCTATATGGAATGTGTTGTTTTGTCTTTGGGTCTCTGTATTGCTTAGCCATACCAAAATCGACAACATGGACGACATTAGCTGCTTTAGATCCCGGGCGTCCAATAAGAAAATTGTCGGGCTTGATGTCGCGATATATCAGATTTTTTTCGTGGATAGTTTGAACGCGGGAGAGCTGACTATGTCAGGGTTCGAGGAAACAAGTCTAGTTCTGTTACTTACCATTTGCTTGGCCACCATAACCACTGTTTTTGTAGTAAATCTTCTGTTGCAATGATCGAAGAGATCTTCCAGAGATGGCCCTAACAGATCAATCACAAGAATATTATGGAGACCTTCTTGACCAAAATAATAGACATTTGGAATCCCAGCTATAAATTATTAACGATTGAGTTGCTTAGGGCGAGAGGCTACTGACGACACCCTACGAGTATCTTGTAGGTTCGATATTCATCTCGTAGTTGTGGAGCGTCGCTCTTTCGAGGCTCCTGTACATTGAATTAGCCATATTCGATCGGCACTTGACATCAGAACACCAAGCACTGTCATCTAGTTGCGGGAAGTATATATTTGAGAAGGAAAGGATTATCCCACAAATTTGATGGCAACTTGCTGACTGGGCTGGTCAGCTGTTAATTCTCTTAGGATAGGGGATGATAGACGTGCTTGTTTAGCAGGTTGGTTCCCTCAAATATTACTCCAAAGGAACCCTCTCCAATCTTTTTACCCACACGATAATGTACGCCGACGACGTTTGAGGAAGAGGATGCCATTGAATTGTTGATGTAAGCTTGCGCCACAAGTTTGCTGATGGAAGAGCCTCGAGGTGGCGCTGAACCAAGTGGGATTCAATTAGCGCCCGTGTGGCAGCGGGACTAAGTGACGCCGCACACAATGACAGTTGGTTACCAAAGTTGGTAGGATATTCACCGGCGCGGGTCGCCAGGTTATTGACGCAATAATAGAATTGGCGATTGTTGTACCAAGATTATTTGTTCGTGGGAGATAATGCCGTTACTAGGACTCATAGATAAAGTTGAAGGCTCGGCTGCGACTTGGTACTTGCAGAGGACTAGACATCAACTAGACAGGGACAAGGGCCTCTCTTTTAATGGCAATTCGAAAAGTAGTGGGGAAAAGCGGAACAGGCCTCAAATAGCCTTGACCCGATTGTATCCAAATAAAATTGATTCAGAATCAGATAATTCGACCAGGCCAGACGAAAATTAAACTGATAAATACGTCGTACAGGGGGAATCGAGTCAAATGATGAATGATTCTTCACTCTATTTACTTGTACCATAAGGGATATTTACGCAGAATATCATTGGGTATTCGAAGAGTCAGAATCCTGGTTGTGTTGCAAGTAATATTGCAGGCGTCAAGGCATGACAATGCCTCTTGTATAGGATATAAAAATTCCTGACCCAACTCCCTCTACTTCCATGAGAATTTACAGGGTAGTGATCGTCATGGCTTGATGGAAGAGGAAACATAATGAAGGGGTTGGGACGAAATCAGTTTCAGTTTACGCGTAAAAAGCGCTCATCTAGGTTGCTTGAAAGAAGGAAATGTTAAAGCGTTGATGGATATGGGTATCTACCAAAAATAAAGAGGGTAGCGATATTAAAATGGATTATCGCTGAGTGCTGGTTAATATTTGGTATCTGTTACAAATGATTTTTACTATAATCTCGAACACCCTGAACAACCAAAGTTCTGCCCGCTTAACCGCTCAGTAACGCCATTCTTTACTTGTAGCACACTTGTTCTTGCAACTGATCGGCATGTGTAGCGTGGGCCTACCTGTATATCATACCACGCAATCCCCACTGCTGGTGTTCTACAAGCCCCGTATTTAGATTCATGTCATCCCACGATCTAACCCACAGAACAAGCAACTTCGGTTAACTCCATCTGGTGATCCTCGGAATAAACTTAGTTACCCCGACCAGTATTGGCATAGAAGGAATATTCAAGCCCCAGCTACTCAACCAAGGTCAACTCGCCTATCAGTATTTTTGGATAATCTGGGAAATATTTGACGTAGAAATTGACGGTTTGGTCTTAGATTTAGGCCGAGACTTGGCGTACAATAGATTCTCTGCCTTTTTCTTCTCGTTTTCCCTAATGATTCCTTCCATTCTAGTGAGCTCTTCCGAGGCATCCTGAATTCTTTGTTTGTCCTTAATTTTCTCCTCTTTCTCTTGATCTCGGTCATGCTGTGCTAGCTCAAGAACTGTAGCGTGCCACTGATCAAAACGAGAAGTTTCAATAAGTCGTCGTAAGGCGTCATCTTCAATCTGCATTTCTCTCATGATATCCTCCCTTAAACTATTATCTAATCTTGTGAACCGTTCATCTAAACCCTCAAGTCCTGCGCCTAATACTTCGCACGGACTTATTGGCTTTATATCAGAACCTTTATCAAATAATCCTAAGCTATACTTAGACGAGTTTAAGAGGGAAGAACATGTCAACTTACGGAATTCAAAGCAAGTGATTAGGGTTTGATAAAGGGTTGTAGCCCTGGATTGTGCCATAACTTCATCATCATCTTTCATGTCGGTATTATTTATCTCAGCCCAATTGTCTCTTAACATACATCTTCGCCATATAATACGTTGAGTCAAATTTTGATCTATCTTAAGAGGCCCGAGAGAAGCTGCCTTTAGAGCAAGATAGAATTGCTGAGTTCTTAACAGAGGACCACCTTCTTGATAGTGTCCAGTATCCATAAGAGTTAATAGGTCCACTAGATCTAGAGCACTCATAGTCTCGTGTTTAATGAGGCTGGAAAATCCCTTCACAAGTTGAGACTTGAATTTAGGTTGCTTTTCAAGAGCTTCATTCCCATAGGACTCAAGCAATAGGTGAACTTCAGCGTTATCATCAATTGCGCTGTCGATCGCGGGCAGAATAGAGTTATATATCGCCTCTTGGATTCTAGTTAGGCCAAGTTGTTGATTCGTCAACGCTAGATGAGAGGCTTTTGTGCCTGCGTCATTATGGGTTTCAACCGCAGAAAGGGCTAGTTTTCCGATGCTCAAGATTATCTTCTTGCTCCACAAATCTTGATCCTGTTGGGTTCCAAGTCGTATAAGCGACTTTGACGCGTGACAAAGGTCTTTCTCTCGTGTGACATCGTTTATCCAAGATATTTTTGTATATTCATTCTTACTTCTTAGAAATGATGTCAGATATGTCTGTTGCTCTGGCCATGAATCAAGAAGCTCATCTACCGCACCACGAGCTAAATAATTCTCCCATAACGCTGTTGCCCATCTCATGCCAAACTTGACAAATAGATGGTTCATTCGATCCTCAATAAATATCTTTCTGTCCCTAAATACTTCTAAATCCTGGGCAGAGTATGCCTTTTTAATTGAGTGCCTACAAGCTTCAAGATCTAATTTTAAAATAGAGGCGAGTGCGGTGAGAATTTGATGTCTTTCAGCTAGGTCAATTGCTTCGTCTGGAAGCTCAAGAGATGATGCTAAGGCGGAGATACATTCGTTCTCACATTTTTGTTGGCTCTCTTTCATATCTTCTGCCTTTCTCTGAAGCACAGGATCTTGTTGAGCTGAGAGCCATCTAATACGTTCTGTTTTTGAGAGGATCATGACATCAAAGAGACTATATAAATCTCTTCTAGTATTCTCAAGAAGTTCCCTATTTTTGAATTTTGCTTCTTGATCACACCATAATTGACTGGTTAATATTGTCGCAAGTCGAGATTGTTTGTCTAAATTTTCTGTGATGTAGAATGTTGATGTCCAAAATTCTGGGAGACCTTCGTATCCTTTTGTCAATATACCATCATTTAATTGCTCAAATGAAAGACCGTAAAGTCCTAAATTAGCAGTTCTAAACTCAAAGGCACCCTTCAAGATGGCAGCGACAAAGTTATTTGCCTCATATAAAAGCTGAAGAATACTTTCAGGATCCCTTGAACCAGCTTCCCAAATTATCTTTACACATTGATAGGCCCATGGCAGGGCTGATTCAATATTAACCAAATCTTTGAGAAACCAGGAGCGAACACGATCAGATTCACCCAGCTCTTCATCCGGCTCAGTTTTCAAGTTCTCGTGCATACTCTCGACAATTTCTAACACTAGACCTCTCTTGTTTCCAAGGGACTTGCTTCTCATGAAAGCCTCGTGGCTCTTCCATCCTAGAGTCGCAGCTCTCAACCTTTCGGCGTCGCAAAGTAATTTCCATTTTGTTACCCTGTCTAGTTCTATTTTATTTTTTTGCAAGTAGCAAGCGAGCTCCCTCATGGCTGTTGATCGTTTTTGGAAATTTTGATCAATTGAAGCAGCGACTGAGGATAAATACTTGCATTTAGATCCTAGAATATCTTCACTTAATCTGAGTGCTGCTTCTCCGAATTCCTTGTATGTAAATTGCTGCTCTGGTCGGACGGCGAAATTAAGAGGATTTTTTTCCATTGATCCAAAGAAAACAGCCTGCTCAAGTTTAGTCTTGGCACTGGGTGCCTGTCCCTTACTTTCAATCAATTTTTTTAAGTCTACAGTCGAAATTCGTATTACTCCAGTACCTCGTACTAGGAGAAGCAAGGCAGGAATTTTGACACTGGAGAGAGGAGATTTGGTTTCCTCATATATTGACGGTAAATAATCAAATTCCTCTACTTCTGATCCGATTATCTCATCTTTTTGATCATTTCTAAAATCGATTGTATCGTCGAAATTTTGTATGAAAGTATTTTCATCACTTTGAGGCAGTGAGTCTATACTTCCGAGTAATTGAAAGGTTGAAAACATAACTACAGCCTGATGAAATACAATGTATGCAATACAGGATGGTTTGGGTAGGTATAGCCTTGGTCTGGAGACTGCTGTACTTTTGACTGGTGACGCATAGGATTTGATAATCCGTAGACTGCTTATCTTCAACTCGTTCCGTTGGATGTTTGCTCGCGCGAGTATGTATTTCGTACCACTGTTATTTAATAAATACAGCAACAATAAGCTGATATTATCTTCCTCTTTTGATGGATTTGAAACTTTTTTTAGGCATGGTATGAAGGTGAAGTCAAGTAATTCAAAAGATTCTGAAGAGGCATCTATAATATCTGGATAAGATTCCCGGAATGACTGAAATAGCGGTTCACGACTTTCTACTTCCACAATATGGTGTACGTGTCCACCACGGTGTATTCTTAGGCACTGTATTCTTCCTCTTGCAGTTGCTACGACTACATCTCTTTCTCCAATTTTTTCAATAAGTCCGGCTCTAACTGCTGATATATCTCCCAATAAAGATGAGGTCGATAGGACATTTCGGATGCTGTTAAATAATCCTCCTCGATTGGAGTTGATACCATTTTTTATGAACTGTACTGAGATCGCTGGTCGTCCTTGACCATCTCTTACACTCATGTAAGCTGTCCTACCACTGCTAAAAGCGAGAAAAAATCCAGCAGATTCAGCATTTACGAGCTGAGTGACTATTTCCCCAGATGCTAATCCAGGGATTGTAAGCTCCACTCCATTTCGTCTCAGACCGAGTTCGAGTGTCGCAGCACATGAGATAGATTCCCAATATGTTACCATCCCCGTAGTCGGAATTATTACAACAAGGCCCGGATTTGTGGAAGATGCAGATGCAGAAACAAGGGTGCCAATTGGTAGAAAATCAATGTTATGTTTTGAGGATATATTCAAGTCGAATACGAATGTTTCCGGAGAGGCAAGGTTAGTAGAATAGGGCCAAACTATTGCATGTGTACACGTCAGTATGAGGGCATAGCCGATGGTAGATCCAATGGAGCCGTGTTGTTGATTGCTTTTATCTGTCTCCAAACGCAGTCGATCGGGAAAAGCTGGGAGTTTCGATACGGTATATATATCATTCGAGGCAAGTATAGTGCTACCATCGCCCCTGTGACACCTGTCTCTTGATTTTGGCCTTTTCCCACGCACAGTCAGCTCTTTCATTGGGGCCGTACCATCCTTTATGAATTGCAGAGCAGCTAGCTTAATATTCTTCTCTTCCGTCTCCGGCGTTAGGTTGGAAGTTAATGATGTTTGATTAATTAATCCGCTTCTTCGACGCTTACTTTTAGGCTCAGAAAGCGAAAGTTCAGAAGAAAGTGGTCGTTGACGTCGCCTCGAAGTGCGATGGTCCAAATGTTGAGCGGCAGCATCGTGTGCGGACTTAAACATCGTCCGTACAATGAGTTTGATTGTATCAGCTCTGTGTATTTAGTGAAATAATCAACAAAAGCCTCCGAGCCTCAAGTTTTGCAGAGGTGATTAGGTATTTCGAAATGGTCAGGCAGGGTGAGTTGTCGCAATGTGATGCGTAAACAATGATTTCTGATCTGCCAGCCTGCCTCCGAAAGCGGTGAAGAAATGCTAAGGTACGTCCTTTTTGCACTAGGTTAGTTGTGCATCCTGACAAGGGATCCTCGATCACTTATTCTTCTTGTGCACAACGACATATTGAGTCACTCAGAACCTCACCACCTGTCAGCAGTGTTTCCTTCGAACCTCCCACTTTGACTATAGAGTTTATAGATCCAAGATCATGTCATACTTTTACAACCGTGTGCCAAGTTATCTTCCCTCAAAGGTGCGAATCTCGTAATTTCTAATACGATTGTATCTCTGAGAAAGAGAAAATCTATTTCAGTATTGTTATAAATTTAGAAATTATAGCTCTTGTCATATCCTAAAATGTGCTACCCATTGGCTGGTAAACAAGAACACTCAAATGAAAATTAGAGCACCCCTCAGCTAAGAACAGCAGAGATCAAATCGTCTACAATACTTCCTCTCTTTTTCCTTACATCTGAGATAAATAGTTAGAAATTTATTCAACCTACACGAGATACTCAATAATCTAACTTCTATAACGAATTGTGCACTTAAGGATAAGCTATTTCACGGCAATATATCTCAATCAATACTTTTCATACATCCCTTAACGACGTTAGACTTGTCTTATGGCATGAATCAGGAGAGAGTTAGGAAGGAGTCTAGGAAGTTTGAGAGATGTTTTGAGTTATACACAGGTCTACTTCGCTCAGCAGGCCGGCTTCGACGATTCCTAAGAGTAGCTATGTTGCTGAATTTCGCACTTGAGTCGGTACTACGAGGGTCCTATGTCCAGTGGGTTTTGAGGCTTCCCCTAAAGCTACACATCCACAATAGCCATCGTTTCGTTGAATAGTAAGGGGATATAATGGTATGATAGAGGCACCTTTTAGTGTGGACCAATAAGGAAGACCTGTATGGGTATCACTGCTGGAAAGTAATCCTGAAGGTGGCATAGATAACCTCAGCCCCCAGCTAGAAAAGAGCTACAAGTCTCTAGGTATTCATGGACGAACTAGAAAAATAAATAACTGAAGCGGTATAAAATATTTTTTGTAGTCTATTTTACGTCTAACACAAATACTCACTAGGAGGAAAGACATAGTTGTATATGATGATGATGATCTTTATTTTACGCCTTGTGAGCCACGCGTCAAGCGTGTGGCCATTAAGTCCCTACTGAGACAAAAGACACCAGGGTCTAACCCCTGGGCTTCTATATATTTGAAAGGAAAGGAAAGGAAAATAAAACCAATACGTGACTTTATATACATAGAAAGTGCATTTACATAGCTACTTCCCGCAGATTGCTGAGTTCTTATGTGGTTATGTAATGATTACTCGGCGCCATCCCCTGCGTAGGTCAGCCCAATTCCCTGTTGACCTCCACTACCGAAAAAGTAAAATTTATTGCTCCATTGAGTTACTTGTCTTTCTTCTTTAGCTAGCTCGCTTTAGGCATCCCTTGAATCTTCAAGGTGTTTTATGGGCATATCTCTGTAAAGGATTGAGTTTCTTGTAGCCATTTCCCGAATTTCCCCCCCCCCTTCATGTGTACAATAATGAACGGGATCATCTTTGAAGGTGGACCTTGCATTAGACATGATCTTCTTTTCCCTGTGTGGCAGAAGAAAAAATGTAGTTGGGCCTTTCTACGACCACATCGGCAGTATTTTGGTACATTCTCGTGGTTGAAGCACTCGTGGTAGTTGGCGAAATCTCCATGTCCAGATCTAGTTGCTAGGATACAGCCTGGAGTGGCACGCGAAAGGGTAAGTTCTTAAGGCCTACAGGGAGCTGATATAATTCCTAGTTTCTCATAGCTTATGTGCTGGGGGAGCAGAGTTCTCCATAGTTTGCCAGTGGCTTGCATTGTGGACTTATTTGCCCAGCGCTTCAGTCCAGCATATGAGAAAAATAGGTCATCTGGAGTTGGTAAATGGCAGCCATCTTTCGCGGCTTTATCTGCGGCTTCATTTCCAATTATGGATGTGTGGCTCGGAGCCCATCGAACCCGTATTTGGCCCCGTCTAGTGTGGGCAAGCCGAGAGCGTTCTTGCCACTTGGGTTTTAAGGTGAGGAACTCATCAAGTTGCGCTTGTGAGGACCCTGAAAAGTGAGACGAGAGAAGTGTGGCAACCTCTAAGTTATCTAGATAAATCCAGAGGTCTATAGCAAATTTAGCAGTTGGGAGTGCTAGTGCAGATTTTGCCCCTTCTAGGGCGTCTTTCACTTCCGCATCAAAAACTTCGATGCCTGATTTTGGAAGAGACAGTACACGCCGAGCAGAGCGAGAGATAGGACGCTAAAAACTGAGAACTCTGTTAACTCGGCGTAAGAGCGGATTTCGAGGATCTAGACGGCGTAGTTGGACTGTAGCTGTAAGCACACGGGCATCGAGAGCTATTTCCGGTTGCTGTAACCCTGATTCACGGTGTAGGATCGCTGTTGGTGTGGTGCAATATACTGGAAGTGTTGCACGGGCGGAAGTGAGTACGACCTTTGAAAGCTGCTGTAGTAGAGAGTCTACACGGTTTAATGTGCGTGCTTTGGGACCTTGTCTAGATCTACCTGGCCACCAAGTTTCCGGGGCGTAATACGCAATGGGTAGGACACATGCATTTACTGCATGACTCAATAAATGAGGTGGAACCCCTCTTGTCGTGTTTCCAAGGGATGAAAGAGCATGGCTAACCTTGAGGGCCTTTGAGGCAAGGGTTCGGGCATGCCATTTAAAGGAGAGATTTTTATCAAAGAGTACTCCGAGCCAGCGAGTGTATGGGCGGGCAGTATTTTCAGATACAGTGATAGGGCCAGCTCTTACCATGGGAGTATTTCCCGGCTGTTTGTCACATCTGCGGCGAGAGAAATGTTGGAGCTAGTACTTGTCTGCGTCAAATTTTAAGCCTTGCTCTAAGCCCCATTGAATTGCTTCTTGGAGGTTCCGTGAAAGATTTTCTGAAATTTCTTGGAGAGATTAGGAGGTGTAAAGGAAGGCAATATCATCTGCATATCCAAATCTTGTTCTGGCGGTTCCAATGTAGAGAAGAGGGGCAAGGTATAGCATGAATAGAATAGGAGATACTGGAGAGCCTTGAGGTAGGCCACAGGAGACATCAAATTCGAGACCGGTTGAACCATGTACGCGGATCTTGGCAGCGCATTTGGAGGTAAAGGAAGCGATCCATCTAACCTGGTTATCAAGCCACCCTTGGTCTCTAAGTCGGAGGACTAGTCGAACGGGGAGTACGACATCATATGCACCCTTCACATCAAGCGTCAGGAGGGAGGCGGTAAGCTTACTGTTCAATGCTGTTTCGATGTCATGTACTAGGTAGGTCGTCAATTCTGTGGCCGAGAGAAGAGGCACGGCTCCAAAGTGTTGTGAAGCCACTATCTTATCCCTAATCGCTATCCAAGAGAGGCGGCGGGCGATCAACCGTTCAAGGCCTTTCCCTAGAATCAAGAGGAGAGCGATGGGTCGATATGAGCGTGGACTAGATCGATCTAGCTTATTAGGCTCGTTTAACATGACCAGTACGGCAGTCTTGAAGCAAGCATGATGGTGACTAGCCTGAAGACAGCCTCTAAAAAGACTGTTGACCCGAGTTTCAATTAAAGGCCAGCCTATCTTCAGGATTGCCGTTGGAATTTTGTCCTCACCGGGTGCTGTATTGCCTGCTTTGATGACCGAGTCCTTGATTTCAGCCGGCGTTAGGTCGGGAAGCGTAAGGCTGGTAGTGCTGACTGACGGCACATCTAATGCAACGTCTATTACTTCAGAGGAATTTTGTAGTAGATTCCAAGCTAGGACGTCGTGCTTCTCTTGAAGTGTGTTTGCAGGTGGGGCTCAGGGGTTGGTTGGATCTTTGAGAGGCGGGGTGCGAAATAATCCTACCGTTCAGTGCCAGTTGACCATCTCAAACACATCTTTTGCTGTATTGGCTTGATCTATTTTGTCCTGGAAAAACTTTCACTTTGCCCTGCGGACAGCCGTACGCAATAGCTTTTTCTCGGCGGTGATAGCGTTTTGGTCAGTTGAGCTTCTTCTAGTTGTCCGGTAGGCCTGCGTAGCGTTTCTGCAGTCGCTGTTCCACCAAGGTTGTCCAGTCCCTTTTCCAAGAGCTCGCCGTGCAGATGCTTTGAGCGAAGAGATCTAGAGAGTTAGGCTCCAGATTTGCAGGAAGGTCTATGAGTCTTGCTATCTCTAGCTGAAGGACAGAGGGGAAAAGTCTTTCATCAAGTGTGCTGAGTTTGAGGCGGGATATTGGCTCCTAAAAGCGGCTGTCCCACGGGATTAAAGACGCAATAGGGAGATGATCAGATGTGACGTCTAGCTCCGGGACTATTGAAGACTCATCTCCCGCAAGTATCAGTGGACTAGATGCGAATGCAAGATCTAACACGCTACCAAGAGTGTGGGTTGGCATGTCTGATTCAGAGATTAAAGTGATGTTGAGTCTGTCCGTCCACTCAATAAACGGTTCTGCTAGGGGACTGGTAGTTTAGGATGACGCCTGCCACCGCGTGTGCCTGAGGTTTAGGTCTCCGGCGAGGAAGATTCGGTTTGAATGACCTGGAAAGGTGAGATTGAGGAGGGCTCTGACGGCCTCACCCCCATTGTTTGAGCCAGTCGGAGCGTTGTACATGTTCACTACCAAGAGGCTTTGTTAGACTCTGCGAGTCAATTGAATAATGTAAGTAAAAATTGTCAATTAATTCCTGGCTGCCATTTCTCTTTCTGTTACTATCTAGATTATGTATGTCTAGAAAATGGTAAATGCTCTATCTGTCCCCAAATTGTCTCCATGAACCGAGTTTCTCATGGTTTGGAACGAAACATCTCT